GAGGAAAAGTTTATGATGTGACCGAATTCGTCGAAATGCATCCAGGTGGTAACACAATTCTTTTGGCAGCTGGCAAGGACGTGGAATCCTTTTGGTCCATTTATGCATTTCATTACGAAAGCCATGTAATGGATTTATTGAAGGAATATTACATTGGCGATTTATTAGTCACAGTGAGTGGATTCATTTGCATGTTATTTTTATGCGCCATGGCGTTTTGTAGAATCGGTATTGGGAGACATAATGTTGGTGTTGTTTCATGCGTGATTGGAATCGATAGCTCTTAAAATGTCCTTTGATGGATAATATATGCATATGTTTATCAGAGAAACTTTCCAGTTTGTCCTGTGTCCAATCAATATTGGAAATGATCAGATTATTTTGCTTTATTTTTTCCCATTGGTTATCAATATTCCGATGAAAGAGATACTTAAATTCATAGAAAAAAATTAGTGAATCCGTTTATGGTGATGCAAACACTTAATGAAGCATGTATGACCTCCTGCAAGAAGCGAAGTTTTTGTAAACATGCAGATCGCATTACAAAGCAGCAGTCAGTTTGAATCATCTTTCCTAAAAGTGATCTCACAATAGCCCAGGATTCCACAAAGTGATCTCAGCCACAGCACGCACAGAAATGATTGAGGTGTGTGAATGCATTCCATCGTCGTGTTTTTGCTCTCTGTGACGTAATAAACTGTGAGAGCTCAAAACGCCCTGCACTGGAAGCATGCGCAAAACGAATTTTGACTCTGTTAATCACACAAACCATTGATTCTTTTGCTCTCTCTCTCTCTCTCTCTATATATATATATGTATGTATATTTGATAATAAGTGGTATGTGAATGACTGGACAAAGTTTCCCCGGAAGCACACGACGGTTTCGCGGTTCTTGCAGCCCGTCAGCCACGCGTATCCAGTAATCTTTCGCCAGTTCATTCATATACTTGTACCCAAAAAGTGTATTTTCGTCACAATAACCTTGCCTGCAACACCGAGTGACCATTGGATAGACAGCTCTTTCAGAGCCAGTCCAATGGACAATCAATGCTATGATTCGATGATTTGCAACTGGGTTAGATGATACTAACCGCAACAAATGTGACCTGAAGGTCTTGCCACAATATTTCATTCTGAGTAGTATGCGAATGTATAGATAGATAGATAGAT